AAAGTGACAATGAAATGTAATGATCCAAGAGTCACTATTTAGCACACTTCACATTGTAATTATTTTTGCTGGAGACAAAAGGTGTTGCATTGGGAAAATCGTTTAAATACTAGATAAATAGATGGTTCCAGCAAATTGGATGCGAAATGGCAAATTTGAAAGGTGAAGGCTTTGCCAATCTCAGAGCTGAAAATATGGGGATGAAGGTAATGATTTTTAAAATAATCTGTTTAAAAAAATAATGCTGTTTGTTAATTTAGGTACTTTAATGGAACGTACAAAGACATAACCTAACATATGCTTATACTTTCTATTCAGGAATGAGTGTTCATTGCTAAAAAATAATTCTTGTTAAAAAGGAGAGTTGCAAGAGGAGTTATGAACAATGGTGTTTGTAGCTATTCTTAAAATCCCTTAAACGTGTAGTTGACAGGATTGCTAGAACAAACTTCAAAAAGAACAGAAACAAAGTGGTTTTGGCACTTAATAGCAGTGCTCCTGATATGCAAACCCCTGGACCACTCTCTGGTGTGAAATTGACAAGAAACAGCATGAGTCCTGAGGGCTCAAAGACTGGGAAGGTTGTGAAAATATTCTTTTTTGGGGGGGGGGGGCACTGAAACGTGTCTATAAGATGAACTCTATCTATTTTCAGTAGGATTCTTGTAATAAATCTAAATCTGAACCTGAAAAATGAAAGGTTCCATAGCTATGTAAATTTTTGAGCAAAGGATGACTTTAGAAAACTGTGATAGCCAGGGAGGGCCTCATTTTATTCATGCAATAGAAGTGTGAAATACATGCTTTTCAGCCAGTACTGCAGAGAACTACACACAAGAAGCAAAGGAAGCTGCAGCAAAAGAAAAAAGAACAGATCTCTGAAAAATGCCATTCAGGCTGTAACCTGAAACTAGCAAAATGTGCCTTTTGAATGGTTTTGTGACCCTGTGAAAATATTAACTTTCTGGCTGGGGTATTTTAGCCAATTTCAACCTAAAATAGTCTTTTGTCATCACCAGTCATGCTGCCTCTCATTGAGAGGAAACAAAACTTGTGCATCCCAGTGTAGGCAGCTGAGCTGAAGGTCAAAGTTCAAAGGCAGATTGCTGCATCACTGGGTCTCGATCTGAATCTTATCCATGTGACCAGAGATGCTCATTGTCAGAACGGAGAGACCTTGGAGTGGAGGAGAATTAGAGCTACTTCTGGAGCAGGTTGGGAGCAGGGGGATGTTTAAAAGATAACATTCCTGCAAAATACATTTTTTAACAAAAGGGTAAGAGTGGCCTCTTGCTCCTCTTTAGAGACTGGAGAGAAGTTACACAAATTGGATGGAGTTTTTTCTTGGTTCATAAAGCAAGAATGCAACCTATTGTTTTTGAAAAGGGAGGAAAAATAAGTTTAACTTAAAAACATAATTCAGCCTCCCTGAGCCTGTACATTTGTCCAACTGTTCCGTTTTTTACACCACACAAAAAGCTCCATTTGCATTTGCATTGCTTTACCAAATTCCATGCAACAAGCTAACTTTTTTCAGTTTTGCGGTAAGCCTAACTACCACTTTGACAAATTGCATTGGTATTGACTCTCTTATTCGGTGCAGAGTCTACAACAGGGCAACTTTATTGGTATACATGATGTGTGTTTAAAACCCCCCCACTTTGTGCAAACATTCAAGCATGCATATAACTTTACTTATAATAGCAATATTATGCATATACCTTATGCATGAGCTTAAGTTTTTGCTTGAATAGAGACTGTAATTTATAATAGGTGATATTTTGAGAAAATTAGGTTTTAATAAGCATTTATTTTATCAGGAAAATACTTTCTTAAAAATAAGTCCTGATTCCTTTTGTCCTTTTTTTCCTAATATAGTAAGGTTTCTAAAGATGATTGAATATTACCATCTGGGAAATGTGGGTGACATGGGGTACTGGGGCAGTTGGAGTTTTTCCTCATAACATTTTGTGCCACTGCTTTGTTGTGGATAGGATTTCCATCATTTAACCAAGGGAAAATTTTGCAAATTCAAATGATGATTTTGCTGTTGGCACTTCTTTTCAAGGAGAGGAACAGGCAACATGCAGAATGTATTCCTATATCCATATTTTCCGCTACAAAACTGAATATCTTTTGTGAAGAATTGTGAAATGTGATGTATAAATATAATTTAACCAAATTTTACTTTCTTAATGCAACATGCATAAATGCTTTTAATCTAATGTGCGGTTTTGGTTCACAGAAAAAAAAAGTAACTTGAAAGTAGATACTTTTTTATGCATAGTAGTTTGGAAACTACTATAATGCAAAGTAAAGAGTTCTGTTACAAAAGCAGGGAGGATGGGACAGAAGGTTAAAGGGCATTTTTGAAACAAACAGCTGGACCAGTTTATTTAAACAGATACAAGGATGGGGAGCTGACCTCAGTTTGACTTCTAGTGGGAGGAGCAAGAATGTCATTTTATTACTTTGCCCAGAAGGAAAATGTTCTTGCGTCTGAATTCACCCTGAAGACATCCAAACACATGGCTGTTTTGCTGAATATCTACTTACATAAAATACATGTGAGAATGTTTAAAAGGGCTATAATTATGAAGTGCCTGTGTGTAAAATGTAGTTGAAGTAAACATCCCAAGTGGCAGTGTGGGGCAAACAGGTGAAAGTATAGTTGACTGTAGGTAGTTCTTACTGATGACTGTTAGTAAATAGTAGACTAACCACTTTATTAAAAAAGGTACCTGCTAAATAATAATGTGTATCTTTTGGAGATAGGGAAAGGTTGAAAAGTTTAGTCATTTGTACTAGTAAGTGTTCTCAGTTTATTTAAGATGTTGATGTGTAGCTGTTGGTTTGGGTTAAAAAATGTCCCTAAAAAGGTTTTTTTATAGAAAGCCAACTAACATATAACTGTTCCCAGATCTCAGAGGGGTAGCAGAAAGGGCCCCTCTTTCCCACTTACCCCAATGGCCTCCTACTATGACAGGTATTCATTCAGCAGTCTGCATTTCAAGGATGGGGGAAACATTAAAAGCCCAAGCCTGTGGGGCTTACGAAAACAAATGGCTTGGGGAGGGGGATTATTGTTGTTTTTACTTAAGAGAGTTGCTGTGAAAATTGCTTTCTGCTAATGCAGATTACTGATATTAAACAATTTTCTAATTGGTCATGGAGCTGAGGCAGCTAATGGGGAAAAAACAGATTTTTTTTAATTGCTTATTTCACATGGTGTTTGTGCTACACCTGTGTTTATAATGAGAAAGGAGAATTCTTCTAACCTTCTGCTCACATGATTCTAATTTTCATGGTTTGTACAAGATAATGATAAACTGATTTGCAACACTGTTTGCTGTGGTTTAATTTTTTTTCTTAGAAGGTTGTATGAAAATGAACACAATGCTGACCAAATATGTGCATAAGCTTTGCAAGAGGGCCCAGATTATGCATGTCTCTGTGTGAAACATTTCCAGAGTGCATGTTGGTGAGACCAGATTGATCATTCATGACCCACACCTTGATTAACTTTCTGATGACTTATTGAATGGAACTCAGAAGCGTGTGAGAGACGGGGCAATCAAATGTATTCTCTGCTAGGGGTGTCTTATTGAAGTAAAAAGAGTATAAAGTTGTATATTTTTTATCACTGTTCCATGGCAATTTAGAACAATCAGCAGCCAGACCAGATTCATGCTGGGATGTTGTGATACCTTTAATGATATTACAGAAAAGAGCTTGCAGCAAATGAACACAATGCAAACAAGTTCCGCATACTGGTTCACAAGATCTGCTTTGATGATTTATTTTGTCAAGTATATTGGTTTCATTTATACTAACACTTCATTGTCTACTGGTAAATACTGTATTTTGTTTTGTAAAAATAAGAAAATCTTGTTAGAAAATACTCTCCGCTCCACTTGGCTGAGAAGTTGGTTGAGGCTGACTTTTTCAGAGTGCTGTTGGCTAGGATCCCTGATCAGTGAAATCAAAATGAATGAAGTTTGACCACCGAACATTAAAATATTTTTCATTGATTATGCTCTTGTGTTTTACAGTTTTAATGCCATTAAGGCTGTATTCAGAATAGACCAAGATGAGATTTTGTTCTTATTACCTGTCGTCTTTTTTGATTTTGAATATCATTTTCAGCATAACAATTACAAAACTAATCGAGCTTAAGAGTTAAAAATAATCTATGGCTATGGTTTCAAATGACAAATTTTTAAGTACCTTTTTATTTCAAAAGAGCTTCTTTTCATTTGTGGAGGGGATTTTGTCAGTAGTACAGTAATTACAATTTAATAAGATGTTTGCTGTAAATGGTCAGGCCTAGCTGGAGAAAACAGGATTATAAATTCAATTACTGTATAGCTATGACCTCGCCTTGACCCCTCAGACTTTGCATAAAGAGGAGGAAAAAAAAACCCACCAAGAAATCTCTACAAGGAATGCTTTGCTCTGAAGTCCCCAGCAGTGTGAGGTAGTGGTGATAAAACTCCAGACGTTCCCTCATTTGATGGTGTACTGCCATCACAGTTCATTATCTTAATAGTGGGCATTAAAATAGAATTAGGTTTGCAAGAGGTAGGGAAGGTTTTGATAAAACCTGTAAAAAGAAGCCAGAGAACATAAGACAGAAATGTCACTAATTAGGGGAGGTAACAGATACCCTTATGAACATCTTTCTGCCTTCACCAATTTTTTTGTCTTCCTTCTGAATTGAAAAGAGTATTGCCGGTATTGTTTCCTGAAAACTCTGCTAATTCCCCCATGAAAAGATGAAATGGAAGTGTCCAACTGTGGTAAAAGCAGGCAAACATAAATCAACTCAGAAACCCCAAGCTTGTAGTCTCAAAGGTCATGAGAGGTTACAGGTTTTGCAGCATCTGAATCTGCACACAGACCAGTTGAGAGAACTAGATCAGCCCTCCATTTAGTGAGGACCTAACGGTGTTAAAGAATGCTTTATCTGAATAACGATATGCTTTCCTTTTTTGTTGTAGGTTTATTAATGCTAGAAGAAGAATAGTTCAGCCTATGATAGACCAGTCCAATCGAGCAGGCAAGTCCCCAATAGTAACTGTATTCAAGTCACGCAGGCGAAAACCATCCTCAAGCCATTCACCGGGAGGTCCATTACCTGGTAAATAAATGAGAAATGAATGCTGGGAGTGATTGACAATTAAAATAAAACCAGTCTTGTTTCATTACAACACTAATCACTTTAACATGGTGAAACCTTTTAGAAAAAAATTAAAAACCAAAAAAAAGTAACTTAAAGGATATGACGCCTAGTGACAGAACTTTCTGTACATATTCAGTATTCATGTTATTTTTTTTTGTTTGAGTTTTCCTTCCCAGCTCTTTCTGCTACTATGACCACTCCCTGGTGCATGGCTT